CAAGATGGCAGGTTTCGAAAAGCGATCGATGATTGTGAGAAATGTTGTCATACCCTTAGAGACAGGCAGGCCGGTGACGAAATCCACCGCTATATGGGAACAGGGGCGAGACGGAACAGGCAGAGGATGAAGCAGACCAGAAGGAGGCTGATGAGACGGCTTGTTTCTGGCACAGATGGGACAGGCCAGCATGTATTCCTTCACGTCCTTATGAAGGGACAGCCACCAGAAACGCCGGTTGATAAGGGCAATGGTTCTGCTGATTCCTGGATGGGCTGAAAATTTTGCAGAGTGCATTCAATGTATGAGCCGAGATCTCACTGAAGTGGGTACGTACCTACGATTAGGTGGTCCATTTCCTGGGTCAGGTTCAGAAGCTGAGGCAAGATTAATCAGGTCGTTGATCTCCCAGGAAACGGCTCCCACTGTGCAATTGGCAGGAAGAACAGGTTCAGGCGTTTCAGGCTTTTCAGACGAGTACAAACGAGAAAGAGAATCAGGCTTGATGTTTTTGGATCCGGGTCTGTAAGATATGATCAGGTTAAACCGGGAAAAGAACAGGGACCAGCGGGACTGACGTGGATTAGACCTTTTGACTGATTGAATATAAGACAGGTTCTTATGGTCAGTCCAAACCAGCACAGGATGTTCAGCTCCTTCAAGCCAATGCCGCCACTCCTCCAGAGCTAGCTTGATGGCTAGCAGTTCTCTATCACCGACGTCATAGTTTTGTTCTGCTGTAGAACGCCTGCGAGAGAAGAAGGCGCATGGGTGAGTTTTATGGTCAGAATCAAAATTTTTGGGATAAGACGGCCCCCACTCTGGAGTCTGAAGCATCCACCTCTAAGATGAACTGCTTAGAGGGGTCAGGCTGAATGAGAACTGGTGCGCTGGAGAAAAGAGCTTTGAGTTTGTTGAAGGCAGCCTCGGCCTCTGCTGACCAGTGTAATGTCCTTTTAACATAAGTTAGAGGTTGGGGATTGACTGTAGTTCCTGATGAATCTCCTGTAGAAATTAGCAAACCCCAAAAACCTTTGAAGCTGCTTACAATTCTTGGGGGTTGACCAGTCCAGCACTGCATTGATTTTGTCTTCTGATGGCTTCACCTGCCCGAGGTTCCTAGAATAGATCAGAATGTCATCGATGTATACGAACACAAAAACGTTTAGAAAATCTCTGAGGACGTCATTGACTAGAGCTTGAAAAAAGGCAGGGGCGTTAGTTAGCCCAAAAGGCATGACCAAATATTCAAACTGGCCGATTGGTGTCTTAAAGGCAGTTTTCCATTCATCTCCTTCCCTTATTCTAAGACGATGATAGGCGTTTCTTAAATCAAGCTTGGTGAAGACAGTAGCTCCTTGCACTGGGTCTAGAGCTGATGCCAGTAGAGGAAGTGGGTATTTATTTTTAATGGTTATCTGATTAAATCCCCTGTAATCAATACAGGGTCGAAGGGAACCATCCTTTTTACCCACAAAAAAGAAACCAGCGCCGAGAGGGGATGAAGATGGTCTGATAATTCCAGCAGCTAAGGACTCATTAATATAAATCTCCATTGTTTCACGTTCTGTTTTGGAGATGTTAAATAGCCTGTTTCTGGGAAGAGGAGATCCAGGTAATATGTCTATGGCACAATCATAAGGTCTATGAGGAGGTAGAGACGTAGCACTGACCTTACTAAAGACTGGAGCCAGGTCATGATACTCAAGAGGAACAGTGGAAAGGTCAGGAGAGTCCAACTTCCCCCCACCTCTAGGGGGCTGTCTAGTGGGAGCAGCAGAACGAAGACATGACTCGTGACTCAATGTGGCGGTCAACCCAGTTAATATGGGGGTTGTGACGTATTAACCACTCGAATCCAAGCACCAGAGGAGAACAAGCAGAGGGAAAAACAAAAAAAGTCAGAGTCTCACAATTATTACCAGAAATGAGGAGCTCCAAAGGTTGAGCCTGAAGAGTGACTTGTTGCAGCCGTTTCCCATCGATAGCCGCAACCCTGATGGGCTTCTGCAAAGGAACAGTCTCAATCCCCAATTGCTGAACCAGATTTGAATCAATGAGATTCCTTTCGCATCCAGAATCAATAAAGGCGGACAAGGTCAGAGACTGGTTGGAGACAAACAGAGTTGCTGGTAATAGTAGGTGAGGAGATTTATCAGTCTTTAGATGGTCCGTCAGACTCCTCACATCCTCTGACGGACCCCGGCTTTTGATTTTGCCGGGCAGGAGGCAATAAAGTTTCCAGGCTCACCACAGTAGAGACACAAGTTCCCCTTGAATCTCCATTGCCTTTCCTCAGGAGAAAGTCTTGTATGACCAATCTGCAAGGGTTCACATTCCGCTCCTTCTGTGGATAGGGAGAAGAAATGAGAGACTTGAGCTGAAGCTGGAGGCGATTGATTCTTAATCCCTGGTCTAGTACTGGACCCTGGTGATCTGACAGAAACAGAAGAGCGGTTAGATGCAGGGGTGGAAGCAGACATTCCGTGGTTCTTTTGTCTAGCTTTATCTCTAATCCGAAGTCTGTTATCCAATCTTATTGATAATCGGAATAAATCCTCCAAGCTAGAAGGCTCGTCAATTGTGGCGAGTTCTTCTTTAATGTTTTCGTTAAGAGCCTTGAAAAAAGCACTCTTTAGTGCACAGTCGTTCCATCCTGAAGCTGCAGCCTT